GAGAGAGAGAGAGAGAGAGAGAGAGAGAGAGAGAGAGAGAGAGAGGTAGGTGAGAGAGAGAGAGAGATGGAGGGAGAGGGAGAGGGAGAGGGGAATCTAAGAAAATAATTGTGCATCACAAGGTAACAAATCAAATATAGCAATTCCTTTGAGGACAAAAAAAATACAATTTTACCTTTTCATGGTTTTCAATTAAGATTTCCACAACAATGTTCTGAAACTTTAAATCCATAATGGCAGCAACAGTTTCTTCCTGAGGCCTCATCAGAGTTGGTCCAAACACCACTCCTAGATTTGCCACGGTCATTAGGTTCTGCTTGCAGTGGTTTGAAACACTAATATGGACGAGGGAAGAAAGAAAGGTCTCTGGTTAAAAGATGGGCAAAAACTGTGGACTGTACAGTATTCTGCAGCTCTCAATTTCCCTAAAAACCAGGACTGCATTGTCCGCAGCAGCTGCCTTTGAAATAACTGGCTCTGACGAGACCACATATGATGAGGCCCCTGCCCAGCTGTCTGCTTCTCTCTCTTTGACGCTCCACGTATGTGCTAAGCTTGTCTCTCTCAAAGGTCTCCCTTTACTATGCCCCTCTGTTTAGAACGACTCCCCTTTTTCCCCAGATCATTATACTCTTGCTTCCAGGGATGACTCGACTTAGAAGAACTACTAACACTCAGTTAGTTCTTAGAAGAACTACGAACACAAGCACACAGACCTTGGTCAGAGCACCCACATTCACCCCTTTGGTCCAGGGAACAACGCGGACAACTGTTCTCACCAGCCCTGCCATTTCATTCAGGTATCAACTCAAAGGTCTCATCCTCAGAGAGACTTCCATAATAACCTTCTTTGTAGTCCCGCGCCCAACATGTATTCTCTCTCCCCTCACTCTACAAATAAAAATAACTTCAGGTGATCCATGGTAAAAAGACGAAGTACTCTGTGTATGATCTTCCCTCCCTCAGATAGAAGAGACTTCATGAAAGTCTGGACTTCTATCTGGACTTTATCTTGTTCAACTATGTACCTACTAGCCCCTACCAAGACAGTCACTGAATAAAAAGGCACACGGAACACAGTGATCCTATTTGGGAAGGTCCTTGCAGATGTCATCAGTCAACATGAGCTCATACTGGAGATGCATATTAGAACGTCCAGCTTATCTGTTGACCAAATGAATCAATGGCTATACCAGGAGTAGAACCCTTGGCAGGTCATAACATTCTCTGGCCTTCAGTTCCTTGTCATGTAAAACAAAGGTTCGAATACACACTGTTCCTTAGCTTTCTCTAACCTCTAAAATCCTGTAATTATAGTAATTGAGGAGTCACTAATTAGCCCTGAAGAAAGGGCTAATTTCTCCACTGAATTATTAGATTTTGCTTGCGTTTTAAAGAGGGAATTGAAAGAATAGAATGGATCTTATGAAGTAACTACCTATTACTGGATTAAATAAACTTAAAAGGACATGTTCAAACTTAGCTTTAGGTAGGTGAGAAACCAAGCTAAATTTGCTAACAGACTTATAATCACATTTCCGGAATCTGTGTATAGGGAAATGTATAATATTTGCTTCTTTTACTTCAAATCAGCCTTCAAATTGCTGGCAGTGATGTTAAGCAAATAATTATACAACTTCATGAAAGCATCATGTTTCAACAGTCTTGTCCAAAACATACACAATGAGTCAGATGTCCAGCCTGCCCTCCCAGGTGTGGTCCTTGGTATTGTGTATACAGCCCCAATTTCAACCCTGACAAATCCAAGAACACCGCACAACACCCAGAGCAAAGCGAGGCAAGTTAGGAAGAAAAAAAAAAAAAAGGCTTACTTTGTTAAGTGTTTCACCAAAATATCCAACATTTCTTTATTCTTCTCTGGCAGTTTGTGTACCAAAAAATGGATAGCATTAACACGAGATTCCGGGCTCCCACTTTCTTAAAAACAAAACAAAACAAAAAACAACAACTTAGTAGAGGACTCGGAATCAAATATATTCTTATAAATCAACAATTACAACAACTCATCTGTTCAACATCTTCAAACAGAATTTAAAGATATTTTGCCCCCTTTCAAAGGAAAAGAAAACCCATCTCCTCCCCACTATTCTTAATCGCCTATGCCCGGCCCCCACCCCCAATGAGGGGGTTTCAGTGAGGCTGCCATTTGTGCTTTCCCTGGCAGATAGCTGAGGGAAGCCCCCACAGCTTCTCCTCTGGGATGCTGCAGAAAAGGGTTCGCATCACTCCCTCGAACAGTCTCACACCACTGGGTCACTGCTCTACGCCAGAATGCAGATAAATTATCAGCAAATCAAGTCTCCCCTCTCTCTTATGGGTTGAACTTTAATCTCCCAAAACGTATGTTGCCCCTCCCCCCCCGTTATTTCACTCAGAATGTGACTGTTTTAAAACACACCCAGGATTTGTTTTAATCAGGTATGGTAAGACATGCAGACATGGAAATGACTGCCATGAAGGAATTTAGCCTTACAGATTCCTAGAAAAAGGAGCCATGTCATGCCACACAGGGCTACACGGGGAAGCACCAGGGTCAGTCAGGAGGCAGAGGGAAGAAGAGGAAATGTAGGCACAAAGTTTTATTGTGGTTTCCACGTGAAGGAACAGGCGAGGCAAACTAAGCAGTCTTAGCACGGGTTGGTTTTATTTCTTTCGAGGGCATAGGGGCTGTCCTGAGTTTTGCGGTACCTGGCCCTGAGGTGATCAGGGCAGGAAAATATTGGCATGGAGTGCAAGATCCCAAAAGATGAGGTTGCAGGAGGGAAAGTGAACTCAGTCTTGGTTAGTTGACACATGGGAAGCATGCTCAGGTTTACTGTCTCTAGGAATTGGCCAGCCTGGGAGAGGCCGTCTCCCAGGGTCAGTCAAGCCCCGGATGTGAAAACATCAGAATAAAAAGACACACTTAACAGTGATCTTATTTGGAAAAAAGGTCCTTGCAGATGTCATTAGTTAAGATGAGATCATACTGGAGATACATATTAGAATGTTCACAGCAGTAGCACTCTTGGTGATAGTCCAAAACTGAAACAACTCAAGCATCCATCAACAGAACAGACAGAATAGTTTGTGGTAAATTCATACAATGGAAAACTGTACTACAATGAGAGTGAATGAGCTACCGATTCACTCAACATGGATGAATCCCACAAAATGAGCAAAAGAAGCCAGATGCAAGGGTATATTCTGTATGATTCCGTTTATATAAATTTCAAATGCAGAAATGCTAACCTATGGTGTCACAAGTCAGGCAGTGCTCACATGTCATGGGGTGCATAGTGACCCTGCAGGAGTGAGGAAGGGCTTCTGGGGTTCTATTTCTTGATCTGGGGGTGATTACATGGCTATCTTCACTTTGAAAAAATTAATTAAGTTGTATACTTATTCTTTGTGCACATTTTGGTTATGTGTCAACAAAAAATTCACTGAAATTAAAATTATCTATATAAATCTCACCCAAAGATAAAGTAATTTTTACGTTTAATCCTTTCAGTTTCTTTTTTGTTTGTTTGTAATGAAATTTTCAGCTTATTTCATTTAACATATCATGGACATCCCTCCATGTCATTAAATGGAGCTCTACACCATCAATTTTCAGAACATTTAGGTTGCTTCCAATATTTGTAAAGTTAGGTTTGTTCCAGTTTATACTTCTATTAGTGCTGTTCGAGAATGAGGAATGAGATTTTACACAGGACCCAGCAGTTGCTAAAGAGAAAAAAAAGCAAAACAAGCTAAGAAATGAAAAGGCACACGATAAAGCAGAACACAATCAAATCATATTACATAATAAAAGACTCTTAGATACAGACTACAACGGACATCGAAAACAAAAGTACAACCGCCTAAAGAGTTAGGTGATAAATTATACTCAACTTTTTCATTTGGAGTTAAAACTAAGCTAATGCCTTACTAAATCAAAGCTGGAGAAAAATGAAAGCAATAAAAATACAGCAACATTTTCAATTCAGTTTTCATTTAAAAATAAAATTAAAGCAGGGACTCCAAAAAATGGTCAAAAATTCCAAAGGAATAAAAAGCTAACTTCCTATAATAAAAAATTTATACATTCAAACATTAAAAATTTTTTAAAACTTTGCACTAAAAAGCTACTTCTCACTCGTGTCTATCTTGTCATTAATAATCATCTTTCTCCAAAGAAAACCTAATTTTAATGTTTTTGGAATCATTACTTCTTCAGAAACCCAAGAGAGAGAAACAGTTTCCCACCTCTAAGTACAAGGGTCTTCATTTCTAAAAATAGTAGAATCAGTTTTGAAAATTAGCCCAAACCTCTCATTTTATTTTCTGAGTCCGTCTCACTGTCCAATCCTATCACATTTAAAATCACACACACATTTTATCCATGTTTGCTTTTTCCTTCTTCTTCCAAAAAGAATTTTGGGAAGTAAGGCTTTGAAAGTAAAACTACTTTTTTCTCGTTTTATTTTTGACATTAATCAGAGCTTTCTATTAATGGGCATTTCCACGTGGCTACAACATAATAATAACTTTAAGGTACTCAAAGATAAATAATCTTCAGTTGCTTATGCTACATGTATTTCATTATATTTAACTGATACAAAGTGACAGGAAATGAAAGGCATAACTTTTTAAAATACTCTAGGATACTGAATTAACCATAACACCAAATTCTGACATAGGCCAAGGAATTAGGAGTTTACTGTAACAGCAAAAGCATTTTTAAATGTGAAACTATACATTAGCATCCCCAACACTTAATGTCTATCTGCTTATGATGCTATGCCAACTAACAGAGATTGAAAAGATATGATCATAGCTTGCCAGAGGTTATCAAAGACACACAGGCAGATAAATGCTGAATTATTTCAATATTTAAATACTGTAAGTCAATACTGCAATTTTAGGAAAGCATTAGCAGTAACCATTAGCACTTCTCAAGGGACAAGGGGCTTCAGTCAACAGACATCAGGTATTCTAGTTCTTCTGTGGAAGATCCTATCTACTTGGAAATTAATACATCAGGCTAAGATAGCTTGATGTCATTAAGCATTCAATCCCTTTAATTTAATTGGGCATCATCTTTTGCATTCCTGTGTAGACCAAGTAAACTGTTTTTCATCTTATGAATTTCTATACTAAAAGTCCATTATATTCTGTCAAAAGATGGATTCTGTGAAATAGTAAGAAATATATATATTTTGGTCTCTGCCCCCAGTTCCTAAAACCCTTGTGAAGAGGGGTGCTCAAATATCTTTTGTTCTAAGACTGAGTCTTTGATTCTAGTTCTTGCCAGAGAGCTCCTAGGGCCTCAGTAATTTACTGAATGATAGGAGTGTTTGACACCAAGCTTCTAAGTCGCTTGGAAATTCCTGGGTAATAAGAATGTCTCTTTTTCTAATGAGGTGACTTTGGGTGGGCCCCTAGATGAGCGCTGGTCATCAGAAAGATCTAGCCACATTAGAAGCTCTGAATTTTCAGCCCAACCTCCTACTCTCCAGAGAGGCAAAAGGGGCTGGAAATAGAGTTCATAATCCATATTGCCATATTGCCTATATGATGAAGCCTCCATACAAATCCCAAAAGTACAGGGTTTGGAGAGCTTCCAAGTGTGTGAACATATTTACACACGGGGAGGGTGGCACACCTCAACTCGACAGAGAGAAGCTCCTGGGTTCAGGACGCTTCCAGACCTCACCCTATATACTTGTCACCTGGCTGTCCATCGTATCCTTGATTGTCTAATAAGCTAGTAAACCTAAGTTTGTGTTTCCCTGAGTTCTATGAGCCTTCCTAGCAAATTCTCAGATCCAAGGTGGGGGTTATGAGAACCCTGATTTCTAGCCGGTCAGTCAGGCTACTGGGGACAACCTGAGACTTATGACTGGTCAGGGGGGCAGTCTTGTGAGACTGAGTCCTTAGCTTGTGGGACCTGATGCTAACTCTAGGTAGATAGTATCAGAACTGCACTGTAGGACACTTAGCTAGTGTCACAGAATTGGCCAATGTGGGGGGAAAACCCACACAACATTTGGTGACCAGAAGTGTCAGAAGTGAAGTATTGTGAGAGTAAAGGAGAAACACAGGAGTGATTCTTCTAGACAGATGGTCCTAGCTCTTTGTAGCAATTTCAGTTAACTCTCTCAGCGGAGGGTTGAGTTAGCACTCTTTTAATTTTCTCTAAAAAAGAAAAAAAATTTCGTTTCCCAGTGCATTCAACATTGGACACTAAGTCAGCAGTTCTTAAGAATGAGGAATAAAAAGCTTTTGCCTTTTGTGATGACGACAAAAAAATAAAATTCATTTTTGTAGCATGCACTTCAGAAATTAACTCACACATTCTCAACAGAGCTCTACAGGAAAGAAAACAGATGAGAGGAAACGAAAGGACCCAGGAGAAACTTTCCGAACTTGCAGCAGGGAGGGAGGAAGAGACAATCTCAACGCCACAGAGCAGATGGAAACTACCGCAGATGACTGAAGAGAGTCAAAAATGAGTTTCCACGCTGGGGTGAGAGGCGGTAACAAAGATGGGTGAGGCCTGATAATTTTAGCAGTCAGCTCGGCTCACAGACACTTCAGCAAAACAAGGTACTCTGTGCCATTGTTAATGGAAAATGATAGCTTAACCACGATCCCAATTTCCCAACGATATTCAAAAAGGGAGGCTAATTTTGGCCACCTGATTTCTGTAACTGTTTTATTCGGTACTTGAAAGTACATATGCAAAAGATTAGAGGATCTGCTCCCACACTGCTTCCTAAGAGGAAAAGTGAGTACAGAGCACGGTTACTTACAGGAGATTCAAATAAAAAAATTAAAGTCTGTATTCGAAACGTTGGCTCCTAAAACACAACTATTTAATATATGTGTTTTTTCTCATTAAATAAGTAACTACAGGTCCCATTCCAACCGCAGCTCCACCTAGGTGCAAATGCATGCCAAAAATTACAGTAGCTACAGTATTTCTTTGGAACAGGCCTATGATTCCAATTGTGAAGACTATTACAGCATCCTCACAATATCAAGAAGCAGAACACAAGGTTACGGTCTAGTAGGTGATGATACCTTTTGTGTTTACACAATCTCTTCTACCACATTGTTCAAGCCTCGACAAATTCTTTCAACTCATTTCCTTCCAACACAGACTTCATACTACTTCTAAGTCCCTATGTCTTAGGAAGCCTTCGTCTGGTAAAATACATTGATAGTAAAATTTCAAACAAACTGGCTTCAGTTACAAGGCATGATAATAATAATGATACTCACTTATGGTAATTTAAAACCGTATTCCATAATCACTTTATCTTTCCCCGATTCTCAAAGGATTAAAGATTCTAGATTAAAGTTGGCACTCGTCTGCTTTTTCCAGTCTCCAAGGCGAACAACATGAAACAATTGTCCTCCAAGTAGTTTAATTTCTCTTTCCCCGGTTTGCCAAAAATGCCACAGGGAAGAAATCAAAACAACTAAGCATTTGCTTGGCCTTCTGCCAAGAAAGCTTACCCCCACTTCCTTGATCACACAAATTCCCTTTAAAAAAAAAAATCCTCTTCCATGTGAAAACAAAAGTTTTTCCCTTTTCCAAAAGCCTATTTTATAGTCTTCTTTCTGCAACACACAAGGAACTTTTACACTGACCTGAGCAAAGACCTCACAAGAAGGTAACATTTTAAGCAACACAAGACCCAAAGGGATCGCTCTAAGTTTTTCGACAGATTGAACTATGGACTACATCCAAGGGGAAAAAAATTAAAGGAAATGAAAATACAATTACAGCTACTGTTGGTGCACCTGTGAAAACCAAACTGCAGGTTTTAGCCAGTGGAACTGGGGTTTTGAATTTTAAATAAAGATCCCTATAATCTGGCAAGTTACTTAACATCTCTCAACCTTCATTTCCTTAACTTTTAAATACCTAACACACTACTGTATTTCAGAAGACTCTGATGATTAAATACCATGTGTTGAGTATAAAAACTGAGGTGTATGATAATAGAGAGAAAATAAGAAAGCTTCAGATGAGTATGACTCACCAAAAATGTCATCACAAATTAAAATTCTACCAACTATGGGCCTTTTTCATTTAAGATTTTATCACATATAATTCATTCCCTAGCAAATATTGTATGAGCTTCTGGCATTATCTCAAAATATTTCTTTTGCCTGTAATTTCCATCTAAATATCTTTCTATGTGAAGCCATTTCCAACCTGCTAATCTCTCCAAATCCGCTAATCTCGCCAACCTTCTGCAAATTAAATACTTCTGTGTTCCCATAGCATTGTGCTCAGGCCATTATCATGTATTTTATAGTATAGTGGGAAGTGTGTATGCCCCAATACTTGCTAGACAATTGACTGCTGGGGGCAGAAGTCCTGCCACGTCTCTACATATCGGGTATCTACCAGCAACTAGCACACAGCAGATAATGAATGAATGGTTTGTGAATGAATGAATTTATTAATTATCCCTATTTTCACCTTCTAAAAGAGAAAAGAAACCCAAGATCTTCTAAAGTGACTTCTATTTTTAACAAATTATAATAACATAAAGTTAAATTAGCATGTGGAAATTAGAGTGTACACACACTATCAGCCACAGAATTGTGTCTATTTGCCTCTACATAAATAATACTTACTGGCTGGAACAATGAACTCTCCATGTAACTCGTAAGTCATAAGAGGCTCTGGAAGGCTCCTATATGAAAAAAACAGCTCAGAATTACCAAACAAATGCACCACTCTTTACATTCATTTTTTTTAATAAAAAGGTATTAAGTATGTTGTGCATTTCTTAATGTGTAAAACTTCCCTAGGGAATACTTTTACATATCAAAAAGACACATAAATCAAATGGATTACTTTATTAAGTGCTATCTGCACCAGGCACCATCAAAGCTTAAGCAGCCACAAATCCCTATCAGATCTAAACCTGTAGTATTTTATATTTAACCTTGGAAAGTACCTTTACAAACATCTGGTTTTATATATAAAACTTCCTTCCACACATTAACTTATTTATCATCAAACATTCTATTCAACCAAATATAAGCATGTAATTTTGCAAATCATCATGAAATATTAATTGAAGATGCCACAAAAAAACATGCAGAAAAGATTAAACAAACTTAAAGCAATCAAATCCTCTCCTCTTACATATCTCTGTTGTAATAATATAATATCCATTTTTGGTTTATACTTAAGAAACAATAAAAGACAGATATGACATGAAATGACAACTTAAAAAATACCCACATCATTTTAGTTTTCTACAAAACAGATTACATAAATGGTAGTATATTTTATCCTATGATCAACAGAATGCTACAGTTCACTCAACCTTTAGACACGTCTTAAATTTTTAAAAGATCAGATCTCTCAACTCTATAAACACTTAAAGAATACTTAGACAAGTATCAATCTGTACAGTCTTTCTGGAGGGCAATCTGGCAAGGTATTAAGAATCTTTAAAAAGTTTAAATCATGTTACCCAGAAGTTCCCCTTCAAATGTTTAAAAAAAAAAATCAAAGATACATGCACACAAAAATTTAAAACATATTCAAAAGCCAAAAAAATTGCAGGGATAAAGGAGGTCATTCCACATTGACAAAGATGTCAATCCATCAACAAGCTATAACAATCCTAAATGTTAATAGATCTAGTAACAAGAGCTTCCAAATACATGAAGCAAAAATTGATGAGATTACAAAAAGAAATGGACAAATCCACTATAGCTGGAGATTTAAATATCTCTCTGTCTCAATAACTGATAGAATAAGTAGACAGAAAATCAGTTAGAATACAGATTTCAACAAAGCTATCAACCAGCTTCACATAGTTGGTATGTTTTCCACCTAAATGACATTCAATCCAAATGTATTTCTGCCCCAGTGTACATGGAACATCTATCAAGATAAACCATATTTTGGGCCATGAAACAAATCTCAATAAATTGAAAGGGGCTCAATTTATACAGGGTATTTCTCTGACTACAATAAAAATTGAATCAGAAATCAGTAACAGAAATATATCTGGAAAACCCCAAAGAAAATGAAATTAGGAAGCATTTTGAAATAAATGTAAAATTTGAGAAATGTTAAGTAAGCAGTGTTTGGGGATAAATTTATACCGATAAATATTTCTATTAGAAAAGAAGAAAGGTTTTAAACCAATGATTTCACTTTCCATCTTAAGGAGGCGGTGGGGGGGGGTAAGGTTGGGGGAGTAAATTAAACCCAAAATAAGAACAGAAAAGAAAAATAGAAATCATAGCAGAAATCAGTAAAATAGAAAACAGAAAAACAACAGACAGTAATGAACCCAAAAGCAGTTCTTGGAGAAAATAAATAAAATTGATAAATCTAGCCAGAATGATTAGGAAATAACAGAGAAGAAATACAACTTATAAATGTCAGGTATGGTAGAGGTAACTACAGAATCACTGCAGCATCTATCTAAAAGTATTAAAAAGAAAATAAAGGAATACTATGAATAATTTTATGTCCACAAACTCAACAATCTAGATGAAATGGACACATGTCTTGACAGACACAAACTACCAAAGCTCTCTCCAGAAGAATTAGGTAACCTGAGTAGGTCCCCATCTATTAGAGAAATTGAATTTGTAGTGAAAAATCTTGCCAGTAAGAAAACTCTAGGCCCAGGTGACTTCACTAGGAAATTCTACTAAACATTAAAGAAGGAAGAATACCAATGCATACAAATTCTAACAGAAAATATAACAGGGACACTTTCTAACTCATTCTTTGGCATTGGCATTACCCTAGTTCCAAAATTAAACACATGTAAGAAAACTAAAGAGCAACATTACTCATAAATATAGATGCAACTATTCTAAATAAAATGACAGCAACTCAGGGGCCGGCCGAGTGGCTCAGTTGGTTAAGAGCTCGCTCAAGAGTTTGAGCTCTGAGCAGCAATGGTTCGATTCCCGGCCCAAGCTGAGCATCCGCTGAGCTGCCAATAGGTGGCAGGATGGCTCAGCTTAAAAAATAAATAAAGTTATCAATGATAGCAACTAAGATTCTCAAAAGATAAAGGATACTATACTACATCATGAACATCTTGGGTTTATCAGAAATGCAACATTGCCTGAATAGTAACACAAAATCAATACAATTCACCATACCAGCAAACTAAAAATGAAAAACTCTATGATGATCTCAATAGGTGATTCAGGGAGAAAGAACAGTTTTTCCCACAAATGGTACTGGAACAACTGGACATCCATATTCAAAAGTGAACTTGGATCCAGACCCCATATCTTACATAAAAATTAACTCAAAATAGATCATAGGTCTAAGTATAAAACCTAAAACTGTAAAAACTTCTCGAAGAAAATATAAAAGAAAATCTTTGTGACTTTAAATTAGGCAAAGGTTTCTTGATACATTACTAAAAGTACAGTCCATAAAAATAAAAATTGATAAATTGGACTTCATCCAAACTAAAAAACTACTATTTGAAAGACACCATGAAGAGAATGAGACGACAAGCCACAGACTGAAGAAAACATTTACAAAGCACCTATATGAGAAAGGACTTGTATCCAAAATATATAAAAAATTAACAAAACACATTAACAAGAGGACAAGTAATCCAATTGTTTTAAATTGCCTGAAAGACATGGACATACACTTCACCCAAGAAAATATATAAATAGCAAAAGACCACATTACAAATGTGTAGCATCATTAGTTATTATCGAAGCACAAATTAAGAGTACAATGAGATACCACCATACACCTGTTAGAACAGCTAACATTAAGAAGACTGACCTTATCAAGAGTTGCCAAGAATTTACAGGAAATGGAATTCCTATACATCATTGGTGAGAATGGAAACAGGTACAACCTACCACTTTGGAGAAAAGTTTGTCAGCTTCCCAAAAAGTTAAACATACACCTACCATACAACCCAGACATTACACTCCTAGGATTTACCAAGAGAAATGAAAGCCTAAGCTCAAAGATTTGTACACAGAGGTTTTTAGTAGCTTCATTCTTAATATCCGAAAACTACAAACAACCGAAAAATCCATCAATAAGTGAATGAATTTTTAAAAAAAAGAAAATTGTGTTGTATCCATGCAATGAAACACTACTTAGCACCAAGAAAGAATGAACTATGCTACGTGCCACAACACAGTTGAATCACTATGCTGAGTGAAAAGAAGCCAGATCTAAAGGAAAAAAAAAAAAAGAGAGAGAGAACACATACTGTAGTATTCCATTTATATAAAATTATAGTAAATACAAATCAGTGTATAACGACAGAATGTAGACTGGTAGCTGCCTAGGGATGAAGGAGTGAGGAAGGAGGAGTGAGGGAGGGATTTCTAAGGGGCATGAGTAAACTACAGGATGAGAAGGTCACTATCTTGACTATGGTGACGGCTTCACAGACCCATATGTGTATACACATACAGACACACACACACACACACACACACACACACACTCACACACACACACACACACTCACACACACACGGTCATTTAAAGCCTGGAAATTATCAAAATGTACAAACGTATAAATATGTACAGTTTGTTGTATGCCAATTACAATTCAAAAATACTGTTTATAAACAAAATACATGCAAAAATATATTCATAGGTTATGTTCCCTACATAAAATTGATGATGGTGCAGTACACACACACACGCATGCAACTACGGACAGTGAAACTAAAACTTAAAACACTAGGGAAGAAAACTGCTCTCTCCTTTCCTCTCTTCCTCCCTCTCATTCCCTACACTTTCATTTAAAGAAAACAAAATCAATTATACCATAGTCTAAATAATGAGAAAGACGTACGCATCTGGGGGCTTTGTTTCAAAAGACGGAGAAGACGTAGGACAGAAGGAAAGTGGCCACAGGGCGACGCATGAAAGTTAAAAGGTGCTCAAAAGACAAGTGGGAAACATGAGAACGCTTAGAAAAACGAAAGAGGGCATTTCCTTTCCAATAAAAATGAATTTGTATCTATGTATCTTCTATAAGTTTCTTATACCACTGCCATCTGTCTGCTACGCAATGCAGCATAAAAAATAAGTATTATGCTGTTAATGTTAGGAAAGCAGTAATAAAAATGACAAGTTCCCCATACAAAATCTATTATACTGAGTCACCGTAGCTCTCCGTTTCCCTCCCAACGTGTTTTTGAGCTACCTATCTTTGTCACCTGCTGGGACCCGGGAACATAAATCATAATATTTACCTATACTGGCATTTTCTTCCCCAAAAGTCCCATTCCAATTTCCAGGCTTTAAACATTTCCTTCAGGTAAAATAGTTTTGCTAAAAAAAAGTCAAAAAACAGCTCATTTGTCCTCTCACATGGGAAACTGCTGTAATGAACACATTGCTGGAAATCAAAAATTATGGTGTGAATAATAGGAAATCAATCAAAGGGCTGCTATTCTGACCTGTAAAACATTGACCCTAAATAAAAGGAAAATTTTGCCTCAAGTCAGTAACAGATGGAGATGTCATGTACATGTCCATAGTGCATCTTTGTCTGTCTCCCAGACCCTGGAGGGTTTGCTGCTTGCTTTAGTTTGGTGTTTTGGGGTTTAGCTCTTTCTCCAACCTCCCATCCCATAAGGTGGCTGGGTTATTTGCAGTGAGAATGCCAAGGGCAATAGCTTTTTTGATGAGAAAAGCTGTATTCAGATATGTATCATGGTGCGATGAGCAACAGGGCTGGGATTCAAACCCAGGCAGGTGGGCTCCACAGCCCACGTCCACAACCATCACACTGTATTACCTCTTGGGCTGAAAGACATGCTCTCGCTCAGGACATAACCAGGTAGCCAAAACGAAGGTATATAAAAACTCAGCTTTTTCCTCTTTCATGCATCATCAGAAAAAGTGTCAATGAAATCCTAATTACTGGATTTTTAGCTGCTAAAAATAACACAGGGAAAATAACAACCACCTTTCAAACCTCCCTAAATGGCATCTGCCATTGTAGGATAATCACTTTAGAACATTCAGGCAGAATGTGTATATTGTTAGAAGGGAAGTTATATAATAATAGCATCTCATATTGTTGTTCTGTAAGCAGTGTTTGCTTACAAGTGGAATTCAACAGGATGAAGCAATGTCAAGAGAGAAAACCACAGAAAAAGCAACACAAGACCAGGGGCAATAAAAAACCAGCTTCGGAGTATCAAAAACCAAAAAGAAATTATATGTACTGAATAAAACAATCCTCTAGTTTATTAAACTAATTCCCCCTAAAAGGAAAAAAAAAAAAGAAAAAAGAACCATATGGAGCACAGGAAAAAACATACAATTCACTACAGAAGTACTGAATTTTTGCCTTTACTTTCCCACAAATAATTGAGTCACTTCAGTCAATCCCCTTACCCGTACTAGGTATGAGTTTACCAAACAGTAAAACACATTTAATGCTTCCTCCTAGAGTGGCAGCATCCACTGCTGGTCAAGTTAACATACACAATTCTTTATATTTTCATATCCCTCACCCTTTCTTTCCATCATCCACCTAAGTCAGGCTTTCTCAAATCAACCTCAGCACTACTATCATTTTGGACATTTGGGAGGAAGACTGGGCTGTCACGTGACTTGCAGGGTTTTTAGCAGCCCATCCCTGGCCTCCACGCTTTACATCCCAGTGGCACCCTGCAATTCTCCTGCAATTCTAACAACCAAGAATGTCTCCAGATATTGCCGAATACCCTCTGGGGGCCAAAATCACCCCCAGCTGAGAACCACTGCTCTCTTATCTGAATGATAGATATAGTTCTAAATGCTGGGGGTTCTGCAATAAACGTAACACATAAGATGTGTATCTTCAGGAGGCTTACATTAAATTCCACAGTAGGAGCTAACAAGATTCATTTTGACCACAATCCTCATCTGAATCAGTCGCTATCAGTGGCAAACTAGACATTAGCGCGTTGATTTAGCCTTAACATTACCCCTTCACAGATCCGGGAGAATAATAACTCACTTCCTAGTTTAAGAAAAAATTTTAAGACTGTGGCTAACAATATCTTGCTTAAATAAAATACTCAAAAATGCATAATATTGGTTTGTCAGAAAAGTCATGACGTATTTTTTCTCTGTTTTTCGTTGCAAAAACGCGTCATGACTTTTCCGACAACCCAATACATACCTGGACCCACTGATAAATTTTAATTTCATTAAAAAGTAGGACAACCAGACAACAAAGCCCTCCTGATATAAAAACAACACGAAGAACACAGCACTGCTCGGATGCATCCTTCCAATAAATAAATAAATAACCTTCACCTGACACCAATGAAGTCTATAGATTTAACTGATAGTTTACAAGAAATATGGTGGCTAGAGAAATGTGTTCAGGAACACAATAAGGGCAGAAAACACAGCCATAACCAAACAGTAGAAAAGTCTATTTTAAAAACTGACTCAGGTTTATCAACAAAAATAATCCTGGCAAGTGAGGGCTCATAGGCAGGAGACTGGGCAGATTAAAAATAACTTAAAACATTATCAACCAAATGAAATGCGTTGGCATTGCTTAAATCCTGTAGGAATTATAACATAAAAGACTTTTTTTGGGGGGAAAAATCATTTAAAATGGAACATAGACTGAGGACTGAATACTAATTGTGTTGGGTATGTTAATTACATTCTTTTTGTCTTTTCTACATTGTCTTTTTTTTAAAGTCCTCGTCTTCTCTGATATATATACTCAAGTATTTATGGGTGCAGCAACATACTGTTTTAGAAAATCCTTCAAGTATTATCCAAAAAAAGTAGCAGGCAGGGAGACTGAGGAAACCAGGACAGAATGTGAGGAAGTGAAGACGCAAGAAACGGGCCTTGAGGATCCATTACACTAATCTCTTTGGTTTTATGTATTTGAAATGTTTAAAATATATACATTTTTTAAAATATAAAATATGTAATGTAAGTTGATTCCGATGTGCTCACTGTAACTCAAACACTATTACCTGAAAACAATCGTATCTGTTGGTTAAAAAGAACTGATCCTGGGGAGCACGGCCATGCTTGCCATAGAAAAATCAAAGTCCTCAACAGAACCACAGCCTGAGGACTGCAGACAGGGTTTATTTTCCTTTATTCGTTTCTTTTTTTCACTCCGGAGGGACTTGTTCTTCATCTAACCTCAAGCTTTTCAATCATTACATTCCTTTCCTCTTTAAAGAAAGGTTCATGACTCACAGAATTGCTCAACCTTTTTCTAATTCTAGTTCTAAATATTTTCTATAATAAATGCGAAATTGAAGTTTACTTTAAAACCTCACTTTGAAAAGTGAACTTCTTTTCAAAAAGCTTTGTATTTATGCATTATCATTATAAGCCTTTCAGTTCAAATGCTTCAAATATAAAAAGTCTTCCTTATAGACAAAAACAGAGATTCAGTGAATACAATAGCCTTCTTCCTCGCTGTTCCATAGCATTTACTTCCTAAAACTCACACCTACAACGGACATCTGTTTCAAAACCTAAGTTTATTCCATCCAATTCTGTTCTGTTGCAATTTACCTAACTAATGATCATCTACTACTTATCTCACATTCTGGGACATTATCAGATACCTCATAAATGTTCTGTTTTAATAACATTTAACTTAACTATTAAGATTTATGTGCAGAGTCGGCATCTGCTGTCTGTTAGATGCTCAACTCGTCCACTCTGCCCTCGGCTACTGCGAGGAGCTTACCTCAAATACTGTTTTAGGGCACTTGTTATTGTCTTCACTTCCCAATCTACGGAGTTCTCCAGGTCCAACTCATTGCATGTTTTTACATCTAGTGAGCAAGCAATAAAGAAAATATAATTAAAATCTTGAACATTCATAGACCCTCTCGACTGGCTCACAAAAGCTTCCATTTATGTGGCCAAACCACAAATAATTAATTCTGTGGTTTCCTATAAAAACACTGTATACAATTTCATATACTATTCTAAGCCATGATCTATTATTAGACATTTCTAGCACTTCAGAAAATCTGTAGTAGAGACCAAAATAAAAGGCTCAAGGGTGGGCTGGGAGCAGGGAAGAGCCGGACATAGCATAGCATCAAAATATTCATCATTGCAAACAAAGCATGGATAGCTATTACTGTTATTATCAATACTATCATTAACAGTATTACTCAGTAGCCATGGCTTAGAGCATGTGGCATTTGCAGTGTCTGTACATTGTCACTGGTTCCGGTGGCATTATTGCTACCACACTGTGTTACGACAGGGGAAAGAGGCAGCATTGTTAATGGTGAAATGATTATTACAATAGCAAAAAGTCAGTGGGAGGAGAGAATAAGTTTGGTCCCACACGTCTAAGATTTGTACTTATCATTATTATCTTTCTGAAGATTAATATGTGGTCAATCAAAATAGGAATATGATGGCACATAAACTTAAAAAGTTATTCATGGATAATCTTTCACATTAACATTAGAATTTATACACTCATGCAGGAAATACTTATTGGAAGCCTCTGAGTAATACTTCTGATGCGCACTCTAAATTAAACAAGTTTTCTTCATCCTAGAAGTGTGGTAATGATATGTTCCTTCTAAATGGCCTTTCAAATGGCTAGTAAGCTCTAAAAAAGACATGTGGCTTTAAAAAAAAACAAAGGGAGGAGGAGAAGGAAGAGAGGGAGAGAGAGGGAGAGAGGGAGACAGGGAGAGAGAGGGAGAGAGAGGGAGAAAGAGAGGAGGGACTCAATTCTGAAAAGGAAGAAGTCACTCCTGGTTGAAATAAAAGGAAAGGATGGTGGGAAAGGCATGTCCTCTGAGTGTTGCGGCATCTTGGATTCTGGTTGGGCTGGGCTACGCACTCAGCTGTGGCATGGCAGCAGCCCTGGGATCACAAACCCTGACCACCAAACCATCCCAAGTCAGTTCCAAGCAGATCTGTACTTCAGGCCTTCATTTGCACAATGGAGAGAATGTAAACACTCTCAGGGAACTATTGAGGACATCAAAGCCCATCAGGAATGTACACCAATTTCCACAAATTATCAAATGAGTTGGTAACTACCATAGCTGAGTCGCTGAAAGGATCAGCATTCAGTGGTGGTTAACTACCTCAAAGGGAGGAAGTAGTCAGTGGGTTATAATGAATGATATCAGCCCATCAATATACACTCCCCTGGTTCTGTTCACTCCCATCATGCAAAAACAAAGTAAGAGACTCATGGAGAAGACTTTTTTTCTCCCTCACTCCAGAATGATGTTTCAACTAAGACCAAAAACAACTAGTTGTTTGGTTTTTGTTTTTTGTTGTTGTTTTTTTATCTCCCTTACACTGCATTTATCTATATATGGAAGGAAACATCTTGTTAGTACTGTATTTCCTTTTTAAAAGCACTGAAGAGAAAAGCCAGCCAAAATGGGACCCACCACATTGTGTCACGCATGCCACTTAAAAAGTCTTAGGCTGAGGCATACAGGAGGACGGATGACAAGTCAATGTCATTTCTCAAAGTTTTTGAAAACAAAGTAAAACAGGAAGTGATGGTTATTTCGCAACCATAATATCATACATATGAAGTCAATTATTCAAAAGTCAGGAGAATTTTTAAAGCCCTTCAACAGTTCTTGATTACAGCAACTGACAGCAATATGCAATAAACTACAACAATGGCAATTGACACTGATTACATTTTGATCAGTTCCTGCAATTCAGAACTCATTTTTTACTCAGCTTGTCAGACAAGCCACAGGTACATTCAAGAAATCAAATTAAGCACCCTGATTAAAGGTGCAATCCTTTATAACTGGGACTAAATAATTCTGTTCTAAAGGCTTTGCCAACCAATTACTTCAGTAACTGAATATTCTCGCTCATTAAATTAATTATTTAAATCTCATTTTAACATACAAGTCAGATAACATTTTCAATCAACTTGCTCCCAGTAAAATCACCATGTTTAAATCCTTCTAAAGGAAGGGCTTCTAAAGGAAATCGTTTATGTTCAGTTTTCTACCAAATTATCATTCTATAGTTTGAGAATCACATTCTTTCTATGGACAAATAAGCCATCCTTTGAATTCACGGAATAAAAAGTAGCTGTTAACATCAGAAGCTAATGACTACATTGTGTCTCGGGTACTAATCCTCCATTAAGTTTTCACTGTTTTCAAATAACTCAATCATCTCTTAGCAGTTCTTTATAGTCAGTGGAAGCACTGGGACTAAGTAAATTGTCAACAGCTTATTTGGAATTCAAACCTACAATGCATTTGAGTGTTCAATTAGAATATACGTTCTACCTTAAATATAAATAAGGTAGGAATTTTGCTTCCTTTCTGACCAAGGGAAATCACCTCATGGCTTACTCAAAAGTCTAAATTAAGAAGCACAGATACAAACAGTTGATTTTTTATTTAGGTTAATGCTTCATAATTGTATAACCTGGGGTCATTTTTCTGAAACTGGGAATTTTCAGCCCAACCTAAATGCAAGTGTTGGCACCCTACTGACCTAACACTGACTCAGGTCTCATTTTTAAAGCACTTAAGTACAGCGATTGAATGAATTTTGAAAATGTACTTCGTAATCCAAAATCTGAATGTTTTTTTTCAGTTTACTTTTTCACCAACCTGTGTGGAAAACGTTGTTCTACAAAGTAAACAGGATAATATTTTAAAAGTAAAACCCTTCTAAATTACTTTTTTTTCTATAGTTCTGTGTCTAAATTTAAATTCATCCAACCTTTTTTGCAAATAAGATTTATGTAGAAATAACCACCAAATTTACCAGCACACATAAGCTGCTATCATATTTTCTCACCATTTCCCCTTCCCTGCTCTGATGTTTTCATTCTTAAGTGGGGAATAACAGACAGAAAATATGACAATTCTAACTAATCTCAGTTAAACTACCAATAACTATTGTAATTCTTCTGTGACATTCTCACCCAATTTACTAAAAACCCATGGCTCACCCAAAGACACTTCATGTGATATTTTCCCCTGCCATCCCCAGCTGTTCCCAAAAAAACCCAAAAACTATTACAAGACTATGTGTGCACTCTGTTAGAGCAAAAAGGGAAGGAGAGGAAAAAGGACCCGTAAAGGGAAGGAAGACAATTGCTCATGTGGGCACATTCTTTTGGAAACTTCAGAAGCCTGGTCCAGGGAAAGCTGAGAGACTGCTGAAACCCAGCAGACCTCTACCTTCTGCTCCCAGGACTGAGGACAACTAAGAAGGCAAACAATTCTCAAACCCATGGGGAGAAGAGCAGCTGCCCACACCTTTACCTGGCCCGCAGGACTACAAACTAGACTATGAAGAGACTTTCTAGGGTCAGGTGCCATCAGTATTTCATGTTGCCAGCCAGAGAGGAGAGAAGAAAGGGGGAGAGGGGCGGGGAAGGAGGAACAATAGAAACATTTTTTTCCCTATTTTTAAATGTGAAGGGGCAAGACACATGGAAAAATAAAACAAGAGAAGAAATCATGCAAGATTTCAGCATTTCTTTAGAAATCATCACATTTACACATGAGTACTTAAAGGATACGTAAAATATTTTAAATACAAAAATATTTTATATAAACATGGCAGTAGAAAAATAACACCAAAGTAAATAATTAGCTCTTAAGAACTGAAGAGAACTAAGCAAATGGAAGTTCTTGCCAAAAAGTATGAAATGCCTTGGAATTTTTTCTCAGATACTTACAAATTAGATTATTTTTCATTTGTACAAAGAAGAATGCATTATGAACAAAATGTACTTTGAAAAAATTCAAATTTGAAATAAGCATTACCTGGAGGAGTAACATTTTTTAAAAAATAATTGCATAGCACTATAAATGGGCAAAATTATCAAAATTAATTGTCTAGAGGAAGGAAAACATTGGTTTAAAATGGCAAAGTTAAACATCTGGCAGACTCAACCAATTTTTTTCTCTTTCACATATATAACCTTATAATAATGTAGAGAGGTGCAAAAGTTGGAGAGAAAGAAAATCTTTGGGGTAGCATATACACAACTGTTCAGAAATTCTAAAATTGGGTTTTTTTGGAAGAGGTATAAATTATTCCAATTCGAACAGCTGTTGAATCAGGATAAAAGTAAAGATATAGCTTAAGGAAATCTTAAATGTATTAGGAAATAGTGAATAAATCTATTATGTTAAAAGCTAAAGTTTGAGTTGGTAACAAAGGAACAAGAAAATAGTATAAATGCTAATAAATATCCAATGTTTGTGACCAACAATTTTAAAGTTGTACTAGGAATCACATATAGATTTAAAAAAATAATCTATATCGCATAGCCCCCTTAAACAAATTAATCCTTAATAAATAATAATAATAACAAGCCAGTATCTGTCCCTCCCATCAATTCTCTAACTTCCTCTGTTTGCAGAATATTACTGAAAACACAGCATTTCCTTTGCCAGCAACATAAATGAGGCCGTGTCACGCTTATGTCCTGGACTTCTCTACTCTGAGTCTCATGGTAAGTGAAAAACAGTTTTCCAGGTCATGAATTTTTGAGGGCTTAGATATTTTAAAACACCTTGCAAGTTAAGGACTGTCAATGAGACATTTCCCATGCTCACAGGAAACTACCACCTGAGGTCAAGGATGCAGATTCTGTGGGGTTTTATGAGATTAAGAACAAATTTGGGGACAGCTTAACACTTCAGGGCGACCACAGAGACGCCCTTGTTCCAACTGCCCTCGAACATGAACAAGGAGATAATAAAAGTAACGCGAGGATCCTTAGGGCCAATTAACTGCCACATGGCGCCTTTCAGCCACCATCTCCCCTTCTGATAGGAACAGTCTTCTCATTCTAATCATCATAACACCATCTTGGAAATGAGAGAAGTGTTTCTAATTTTAAAATTAACTAAAAGCAGATGCTATAGTCCCATTAAACTCTTCCAGCTGCTACTGAACCACTGGCAACCTGTGTCTATTTAATTTGGAGACCGCTAATGGTAAAAAGGAAAATGTGACTGCCAAAATTGTACACCCAAGTTAAACCAGAGAGGCAGAAAATACAAACAGCTCATGAAAGTGAATGCATTCTAATAAGGCTCTCCAACTGATGACGGGCAATTTTTTCCTGTGGTTAACACCTGAAAAAAAGTGGTTGCTTAGTAAATCCTTAATTCCAATACAGCCAAACAAGCAAGCCTATCGGTAACATCTCAGTTGGTTTTATTCGTCTTGGTTTCTGCTTCCCAAAGTGAGTCTTTGCTCCAAAGCTTTAAGACACAGGCAGGTTTAAATGCATTGACAAGATACCTGAGGGCACTGTTAATATTGATTAATTAAAGTGAGATATCAAGTTAATTAATATTTAGCAAGGTCATAATGACACACAGTCCCTCAAGCTTGATGAGTTATCATCGCTCCTCAAGAGGCAGTCTGCTTTGAGGTTGGGAGACAAGTGCAACTTCTTACAGGTGGCACTGAACTGACAGCAGCGTGTCATGTAAAAGCACTTTGTCATCCCCATAATGTCTGGGGTAATGAAATGAATTCGCTTTCTGGCTTCCTCGAGTCTGCTATGCCAAAGAACACTGTGTTATCAGCACAGATGGAGCGTGCATGGTTCTGGAGGAGAGCCTGGTGCAAACTACAAACAAGTCCCTGTGAATACCAATGAATCCCTGAGAACCAGAGCCATGCTGTCAAATGACAGTTTTGGAAGCTCCCTAAAAATGAGCGAGTCCCAGTGGTCTTGTCCAATCACGCGTACTGTCAAGACTCTGGAAAGCCAATTTGGAAGCCATGCAAGTCACAGAGGCCTGGCTGCTACTTTCCTATGAGAAAGAAGCAGAAGAAGACATTCACCCATGAGCCACCTTCTTTCTTTCTTCAATTTTTTTTAGTAAGTCAAAAGGAAGTGGATAATCTGATACACTAACCCACTTCTCTGAGTCGACTGGGAGAAAGCTCATCTAGGCAGTAAAAGACAAGAATGGATTCACAAGCACACTATAAGTTACTATGAAATATTAACTTGTGATGTCAATGAACATAAACAAATAATGCATGGAAAATGATTAGAAAAGAAGCATACCCATCAACATACTGAGAAGTCTCTGGACCTTTGAACTCACCCCCACAACTCTGTACAATCCTTGGTCATTTATACCTATTGAAAGAGACAAAATGTTAGCAAAATGCAAGACTGTCATATGTGAAAAGCTGTCAGCAAACAGTTGCATTCAGCATCTTTGCTAACTCACAACAGCAGCACTCCTGTTGACTCTAAAAATAACGCTTGACAAAAGCAAGTGTTTACCAACTTGTTCTAGCAGCTTGGTTTTCATGAGTTATGGCTGGAAAATAATCTCATAAAACAATCTTCTGCGTGGACCAAATGTAATGAGTCATGTTAATGAAGTAAGTTAAGCAGCACTCGTGTATACCCACACAATGTGTGAAGATGCGTTGTAACCTTCATGTTTAATATGTTTACTTATCCTTGACACTTTCCTTGAAAAAAAAAAATTAGCTTTTGAAAAACAATATGGTGCTGATTATCATCACATTAAAAAATTATTGTTTGGATGATTCCTAAAGACCACGGAAATGCATTCAAGACTGAGGCAGAACTTGTTTTTTAAGGGCTGTTACATGCACTGTCCAATGAGATGCTTTGAAACTTCAAGTATCACCACAAACTAAACATCAAAATGTACCAAATCACTGCCTTCTCTCTCTGCAGAGACCTGAAAACAAAGTATCCCTGAGCACGGCAGACAAGAAATAAAGGCACAAAAATTTTGGGTCTAATATAATTTAGTATGTTGAGCACACAGCCCTGTTTTGATACTGATCTGAACAAACCAATTGTAAAAGGGCTTTCGGAGTCAATCCGCAATCTCTGAGTAGCATTAAGGTTATGGCAGAAAATGTCTATATTTTTTAAGTTACATACTGAAAGGAGTGAAAGTCTTAGATGTGCTTTCAGTGAGAAGAAGGGAGAGATGAAGAAATAGCAGCAAAAGCTTGGTAAATGTTGAGTCTGAAAGATAAGAATATGGGAGTTCATGGTACCACTCTCTCTACTTTTTTTTATGCTCGAAAACATTCACAGTAAAATAATGACTTCCAGAAAAATGTGACTTATTATCTTTATTTCTCAAAAGAGTTGCAGCTTTCCGCCTGTGTTTCCTTTCTGCACTACAAATGTTAAAAGGCACGAGACCACCACTGGCTGACAAGGAGATGATGCCTCTAGTCCCCAAGTTTCCAAACAAAACAATATAACACCAAGGAGGCCATGGAGTCTGCCCAAGGGAACCAACTTCCTTTTTGCCTCCCTGCATGGGATGATGATAAAAATACAAGGAAGAGTCTAAAGAACTGGATTCAAATCACAGCACCATCGCTCCCAGGCTCTCAGACCTTGGGCAAGACAGGCAACCGAGTCTCTATGCCGCCCAAGATCCCATGCAGCAGCCCGCCCGTGTGTTATGGGGGAAGGGAAATGAGACAACACCAACACACGCTGTCAGTTCCAAAGCACTGCACAGGCAAAAGCTTTTATGATTCCTCGCAAAAATGAGCGTTTGTTTTTCTTCTTTTTCGCCTTTCATTTTTAAAGCCTTTCAAATGTCCTATTTGTCTGTCTGTTATGGACTGAACTGTGTCCCCCCCCAAATTCTTATGTTGAAGTCCTAACCCACAGTGCCTCAGAATGTGACCTTATTTGGAACTAAGGTCTTTAATAAAAGAGGGGATTAGGTTAAAATGAGATGATTAGGGGAGGCCCTAATCCAGTAACATGACTGGTATACTTATAAGAAGAGATAAGGACACAGACATCCAAAGGGAAGGCCATGTGAAGACACCAAGAGAAGACAGCCATCTACAAGCCAAGGAGAGAGGCCTCAGAAGAAACCAACTCCGTCGACACCTTGGACTTCTAGCCCCAAGAACCATGAAAGAATCAATTCCTGTCGTTTACGCCACACCATCTGCGGTACCTTATTATGGCAGCCCTAGCAAACTGATATACCTTCTCTCTCAATTACTCAACAGAGCTAAGAACCAGGAGAGCCAAAGCAAGCCCTTCCGTGTACACAGGTCTATTCAGAACACTGAAGAAAGCAAAGAGGCAGAGAGGCCCCTTCCTGATGGGGAACGCTCACTGACTACGAGAGGGGAGAAAAACGCAGGTCAGTCCTGCCAGGAGATGGGAAAAAGAAAACTGTCAAGACACACAAAAATCAGAGCTTGAGCCTGCAATGGGAGAAAAACCGAGCCTCAGTCCTTCCTTCTCCTAGAGGCCAGATGGCCATCTCCAGATAGTTTAAAATATGAAAAGCATTTTTTTCAATACTATTCTATTTTTATATTGAATTTATTGGGGTGACAATGGTTAGTAAAATTACATAGGTTTCAAGAGTACAGTTCTATAATACGTCATCTATATATTGCATTATGTGTTCACCACCCAGAGTCAGTTCTCCTTCCATCACCATGTATTTGATCCCGTTTACCCTCTTCTACCACCCCTCCTCCCCCTTTACCCTCTGGTAAACACTAAATTATTGTCTGTGTCTGTGAGTTTTTGTTTCTTTGTCTTGTCCTTGGTTGCTTTCAGTTTTACATGCCACATGAGTGAAATCATATGGTTCTTGACTTTTTCTGTCTGACTTATTTCACTTAGCATAATAATCTCAAGATCCATCATACTGTCGCAAATGGATAGAAATGGCAGTACTGTCTCAAATACTACTCCATTTAAGAGACCTAAAATAGTTGATCTCAGTGTCAGAGCCGAAAGAGCGAGTAACATTCTACAGTCAAACAAACATGCCTCTATGAGAAATGCCTGAAATATATGGAGAAATGAAATAACAACAATAATAGCAGCAAATAACAGCAATAATAATCACTCTGTACTGGTAATTACTATCATATAATTGACCAAGTTCAAATTCATCATCCTGAGAGAAGTAGAGTTAATTGCTAATGCATAATCAAAGATGCAAGGGGGACTTGATGCTACTCAACGCAGCTTTTACTTTTTTTAAATGAAATTTAAATAAACCTTGTACAAAAGCAACTTGGAAATAGCATGTAAAACACATACAGTCAAGTCGTGTAGAATTTTCTGTTTCTTATTACATTGTTCTTTGAAGTTTGGGACCGAGAAAATTGGAACATACTTTATATCTCTAAACACAGTCACAAGAAAGACATCAAATAAATACATTTAGAGAATATAAACCAGTCACTATGCCCAGTCATATCAGTGCGTTTATCATATCCTCTCCAGCTTCTCCTCTAAATTTCCCTCTTCCAACCAAAAGGATCACTGTTGCTAACCACCAAGTATTAGAATTTTGAAATTTTCTTTTTCTCCCTGTCACTTTCCAAATTCCATAGGTCAATGTCTACATTTTCTTCACACTTCAGAATAATCTCTAATTCTTTAACCCAGTCTTAAATTTAATGTACACACATTTATCAAAGCATCCTTGCGGAAACGCACATCCATCATCCCTTCTGAACATCATCTTTTTTTGTATCTTTGTTAGTTTTTAAACCACTTTGATTATCTAAAGTCTCTCCCATCCCCACTGAAGAGCAAGCCATTCAGATCAAACCTAAATTCCTCAGTTGAACAAGTATGTGAGGCATAAACACATCAACATCCATAATGGGTCCCATCTCATCTCCCACATTGAATGCAGGGTATTCGCTTTAATCAGAGCAGACCCCTGACTCTCACCCACAAATAACCAAATGCCTTCCCTCCTCCATGGCTATGTTCAGGTGGAAGTCTCCTCTGACAGAATGTCCTTCCCCTCTCCTCCACAAATTACTCATCTGCCAAATGTTTATTCATCACATGTGGAGCAGGTGCTAGTCTAGCTGCCCAAGATTCAACAGTAAGCAAAGTAAAGTCTCATGCAGACCTTCAAAACCAAATAAAACACCATATTTTCAGATAACCAGCCCACAGTAATATTCGCTTGTTCTGAAGGTGACACATGATTAATTCCTGTTTAACACTTAATTACATTTTAAAACTAGCCTACAATCTCCTATTCACAATTTCCAAAATAAAAAATCTGAACATTTGAACTGATATCAGGTTAGTTCCTCCTTTCTTCCCACTCAGTATGAAAATTCCTATTTCAGCACATTAAAAGTAATTTTCACACCAAACCTATCTGGAGATGCTACCTACTATACAGTATATGTCCTTTATTCCCTTTTTAAATTAAAAATAAAATCTAAATTCTTAAACTCATCTAATCTCACAACTTTCAGATTAAAAATTGGGAACCTGTGGTGTATGTTCTCTCCCCCAAATACACAGAGATATTACCTGGAAAGATGAGAGGTCAACCTTGGGTTTTTTGTTGTTTGTTTTAGTAAATTTCATGGCGTCCTGCATGAAATAGTTGGGTACAGAATAGGTATGGCTAGGTTGATTTGACTTTAAATTGATTTAGAACTACAGCTAGACATTGGACTTGGGCCCAAACAGACATTACAGTTAGGAAATGAAAAGTTAAAGTTAAGATATGCAAGCTATTAAACGTTTCCAGGATATCAAGACCCACTCATCGATATCATTGCTACAACACTAACTTTTAACATAATTTGTCATCAGGTCAAAGTGTTTACAGGCCCAAGTTTTTTTGTTTTTTTTTCCTTCTACCAAATAAGATTGGTTCTGACCGGTAGTAAAGAAAAGGTAAGGGTTCTCCATCACAGTGATGAGCAGGTGATGACAGCTGTCCCTGAGCAAAGTGAAGAGAGGGAAACTGAATGTGACTTACTTCCCACTACCTGTCTCCCCCAATCTCACATCATGCTGTCACCCAGCACTGCCAGTGTCTTCCTGGAGGAGAGGGTCAAGAAGTAGGAATGAGTCAAGTTTCATCATCACCTCTGCCCAACTGTTTCCCTCTCAGAACCCAAATGACGCCACCAGCGCCAGTCTATTCAGCTCCAGAAAACACCTGTGTGCAACTACTGAACACCAGTGGGCACCCAGAGGCCTGCAGGGGGCTGGAGAGGCACAAGAGAAAATCAGGTGCCAAAGTAAGAAAAAACTTAAAAGGGCTGATGAATTCAGTTAAACAACAGAGGTTGAATCAAGACTGGAGTGGCTACAACTGGCAG